CCCCAAAACCCCAAAACCCCTTAGGTATAAATAAAGGATTTTAAAGGATTCTTATAATCATAAAAATAAGATTTAATTATATTAATGTAGGAAGATATTGCAACAAATAATTTTAAGAGGCTAGCAGAAGAAACAAAACTGCAGTAGAGAGACATTAGAGTAGCTAAATAAATCTTGGACAGCATTGAGTAGATCCTTACAGAACCCTAATCAATAAACCGATGGATATTCGAATTACTTTAAAATGCAGCAGACTCTTGCTGTTCTGGTAGAAAACTCAAAATTAGTATTGATTTGACGAAAGAATATCTTAAGTTCTCTCATAATGGTAAAGCATTCGTTCTAGAAGACTTGATCAACTTAATTGAGTAAGGTTCTAGTAAAGAGAGAATATCTCCTCCAACTAATGCTTCAAATAATCAAGATTGTAAGATTCATAATAGTCATCATTGAATTTTATAGTAAATGGTCAGGAAGTTAAATAAATCGGAAAGTTTGGAACAGGATTTTTAACTACTTATATTTTATCTAAAAAGGTAAAAGTTGAAGGAATTTTCAAACATGAAATTAAAGATGATGATGATGATAAAATCAAAGCTCAATAATATAGAAAATTCTTACTTACAATGAATAGGGATGCTGAGAAAATAGAGTGGATGGTAAAGCAAATACAACACTCATCTTAGATATTTGAGTATCTTGACCACCTTAAAATGCTTTAAAATTATCAAGAAGGAGTGAGTCTAGACACTGTTTTTAGCTATGAACTACATAAAACAACAGTTGGAAATGCTTCCTAAGGTCTTGATATTCTAAGAAAGACAATGCCCTACCTACTACTCTTTAATAATAACATTGAATCAATTATTATTGACGATCAAATTTAGAAAAGAAAAGAAATTTTTTAGTTGTAACAAGAGAAAACTGATCGAGAGTATGTCTTCAATAAAACAACATTTAAACTTCATAAATTCGAATTCTTCATTAATAATTAGCCCACATCAAAGCTTCTTCAAATTAAAGGTGATAAATCCTCAATAAATTGCTAAATTCAATAGGATTTCTAGATAATTAATAAAGATTTGCTAATTCCTCTATTATTTGTAGACTTTCCTTTGATTGGTTTCGATGCATTATATGGCTCTTTAGTATTTAATTCTTAGTATCTACAGCCAAATGAAAAGAGAACAGGACTTATCCTTGATGAAAGTTTGAAAGGAAAATAGAATAAAGAAATATTTCAAGAGATGGTTAAACTCTATAGTCATTTGATTGACTATTCCATAAAATTAGATTTGAAAGGATTTGATAATTTGCTTATCAAAGCTTAATTAAATACCTTGTCCAATAACCAATTTAAGGATTCTCTCTTAATCCCTTGTATTGAAATTTGTCTTAGCAAATAAATTATAAAATCTAACTCACTAAAGATGGAAAAATTAGATGATATTTTCATTCCTAATATCAGGAATAATCCAATGAGCAATAATCCTGACGAATATCAACAATTCTAAGGTTTCATTGAAATATTTTAAATGATGGATAAATTCAGAGATGATTAAATTATCTAAACAGAATACAATTACGTCAAATAGTGGATGGGATTAAATGAATAGCCCGATTGGAAATAGAGAATGAGCTAATCTAATCAAATTGGAATAGAATATATTATTGATTTTATTCATAATCAAGGATCTATAACTAATCTTTAGCATCATCTAAATTGCAATGATGGTAAAAGTTTTCTTAATCTAGTATATGCCTATGCTGCCAAATACATGGATTCTAAAGCCTTTGAAGATTGTTTAAGATCTAAAGCAATCACTCCAAATATGTCAGGAGAGTTTTGCTCTATTTCTTAATTAAAGATTGATGATAAAATAGACCCATTTTATTTAGATTAATTACAAAATCATCAAATCTAAATTAAGAAAAAACTGCTTTCTAGCTAAATCATAATACCCTAATCAGAAAAGTTCCAAATATATTCTTTTAAAGAACTAGAGGATTTTATGACTGCATCTATTTTGAGGACACTTTAAAGTTATAAAACCTATAATAAACAATTTCCATTTTCGCAATATTAATTTAGGAAAGGAGGCAAAAAACCAAAATTATACACTGTATTGAATCCATAGTTAGAAAATTAATTAATTTTTCCAACTTATGAAAGACTAGAACAATTTTGTTTTAGTATTATAAGTCTAAGAAAGATTGATAAAAATGGACTTAATGAAAATGAAGCAAAATTTAACAAAAACTAGAAGAAATTAAATAATTTAATAATGATGACATATTTAAAAGATAGATTATAGCCTATAAAAGGTGTAAATTTCATACCAAATGACCTAGTAAAGATCTGCCAAGAATTCATATTAGGCTTGATTATAGTTAAAATTAAATCATGTGATAATGTAAAATCATTTAGACAATATCTAAAATAACAGAATACTGATCAGGCAATTTAAGATTAAGATGTTTACAAATTTCTAAACAAATTTTACAAGATTGCAACTGATAAGCATAAACTTCTTACACAGAGATCAATAATTTGTCCTAAGTTAATCCCAAATTAACAAGGGAATTTTATGAAATACTGGCATAACAACAAATAGAAATCTATCGCTTAAATCAGTTTCAACATAATTGACAAAGATCTTTCTATAGTTAATTTTCAGAATATGGAAGATTTATATGATTATTTTGCAAATCTAACCTAGAGAGGGAAAGATTATCTAGAGCAAACTGTGGTTAATAGAATATTTAATAAGGCTTTAATCAAAAGTGAGAATTAATACCAAATTGAAACTTATGTTAGATGTCAAGATATCTAATATCTCAGAGTTAAAGATATCTGCCAATATTTAGATAGCTATATCATCAGAAATTCTAATGATAAAATTTTCATAAGATAAAATGAGGAATTTTTCAATAATTTTGAAAATCTTTATGCTTCCACCTTCCAGGATAATCAAAAAGAGTTTTACTTCTCATAGTATACTAAAAACAGATTAGAGATCTTAGTTGAATTGAGATAGACTGGAGAGGTAACAAAAGCTATGCACAAAATCTTTTGCTAAAAGTAGGAGTAGTTATTGTTTAAACTTGTAGAGATTGATCCTTGCATTAATACAATTGCTCTTCAAGTGCTCTAACTTTTAAAGAAATTCGAAGACTAGCCAAAACTATTTCAGAGTTTTTTCAACGAACTTCTTTCAGATTATAAAGGAGTTGAACTAGATTCGAATGATATCGATGCTCTGATTGAAAAATGCAAGGAGCTTAAAAAAAAGAAATGGGACAAAAAAAATCATAAGAAGTGAGATATTTCACTATAAATTTCTTTGATATTATAAGCTTTTTATTATTTCAAGTTATATTTAAGTTTACATTTTCATTAATTTGCATTAATAAACTAAAAGGGGTTTTGGGGTTTTGGGGTTTTGGGG